CTTGTTTCATGCTTTATTCTTCTATACATGTTGGATTGTGTAACTACTTGATTGTTCATATGTTAATGACTTGTTGGAATCTTTGTAGGGTTATATGTGTGAAACTAGCTTTTGGATATTGGATTTTCTATCACATCTTGTTCGTGTTCATCTTTCGTTAATGAATTATACGCATTCGTTCTCTTTTATGGTATGTTGTGAATTTTTCCATATTTGGTTGCATGTTGGGTATTTCCATATGAATTGTGATCACGCCCAACTATGCCTTATAAAAAAGGACTCTGCGGACGTTGCAAATATAACCCGAGTATTACGCCCAGGGTCGAATCCACAGAGATTTAACCTATCAACTGATACCTTCAGACCCACTAAGTCTTCAGAACCAGCTTCCCAAATATTCAAATCTCAGTTGAGTGTTCTTTAACAACTAGCTTGCAAATAACTAACTGGCTGTAACTAAGTAAAAATAAAGGTCGTAAACAATTATGAGAAAAAAAAGCTAAGGCAATGATTTCTCCTATTGATGGAATCCCTTCTGTTTATGCTCATACAAATTTACCAACACATCTCTATCAATCATGAACGCTAATCTTACCGTAAATCTCTCCCGAGTAATCACAGTAATTTACTATTGCACTCTCCCGAGATACAATAGCTTACTTTATTTAGCACGATTCACTTTAGATTACACCCAAGGCTTCGTTATCCCTAATCCCGCCTTTAAACCTGCAATTATAGATTCCTCTAATAATCTAGGAGTGGTGTTGTTCAACAATACCCTAAATATGCATTCTTTTCCAAGTTATGCACACTAAATAGGCACAGCTAATTGAGGATCCTGTCAATTAACTACAACGAACACGAAGTTGAACAAATAAAGATTAAACTAGCAATTTGTATTCACATAAACAAGAAGTTCATCACCCAATAGGTTCCATCAATGCCTTAGACAAGGAATTTAGCTACTCATAGATATGGAAGAATAAACTAAGCTTGAATTCATCATAAAATCAAAAAGAAAAGAAGAAAGATGTTTAGAGTACTTTCTCACAATTGTTTTCCTTGCTAAGAAACCTAAAAAATCAATACATGCCTCTCTTGGGCGAAGTCTAATGTTTTAAATAGGGTTTAGGTCTAAAAATCCCGTAATTGACACTTTGGTCCCAGAAGTTTCTGCGTCTGCCGCGGTTCTGCCGCGGCCGCGGTAGAACCGCGGCCAAACACCCTCGCGGATTCTCACAACTTCTGCAGCTGCTTCCCACCGCAGTTCTGCCGCGATCGCGGTGAAACCGCGGTGGATCCCATTCTCTGAATCTTCGGCCTGTTTTTGCCCGGGTCACTTAGGAAATTTCACAGTTGGCCTCTTTTTCATCACTTTTGACTCCAAAACTGCTCCTTAGCCGTCTTTATACATATATCACCTACAAATCATGAAAAGCACTAATAAGAGCATTTTGTCATCACTTTTAGCATTAAAACTACGCAAGAAGGTGATTATTTAAGGTGTGATTATAGTCAAATTCACCTATTATCAAATTGGCATGTTGAATCGGGTTGCTGATACTACATTAGTATAATGGGATCGGGTGGTTGCCGCTACATTATTATATAGATCCTCGGGTTGCTCGTCAAAATATTATTATGTCCATGGTATCAGGGTAATGCTGCAACACTTTTTGTGTGTTGGATCGAGTTGTGCGTTATGAATTTTGGTGTTGACTTGAGATATTGTCCTCCTTTGTGGTTTGGCTATGTTATTCCCCTATATTGTTTTATCTCCGTTGATTTAAGCTGCTGAGAAAGGTTTTTGGTTGTTCTTATTCAAGAAACGTGGTTATTTCTCCCTTTATTGAATCCCTTTTACTTTTATTCGTCTTTAATCCTGTAATTATTATTGTTATTTCTCTTGCTATTTTTATTATTCATTACCTGTACAGATTTATATGGTAAGTGTCTCGTCATAGCCTCGTCACTACCTCATCGAGGTTAGGCTCGATACTTATTGAGTATATTGGGTCGCTTGTAATCATACTACATTTCTGCACTTCTTGTGCAGATTCTGGTGTGGGACCTAGCAGTGTTCATAGGGGGCAAAACTTGGATTTTAGGGAGACTTGAGGTAGTATTGCATTCCCACTCGCCGACTCTGGAGTCACCGTCAATCTCCATATTATTGATTCTTGTATCAGACAGTATTATATTTCATTCACATTTTGTATTTGGCACTCTTAGTAGCTCATGTACTCAGTGACACCAATCTTGTAAGGTTATTAGATGGTTGTATTGCTTTATACTTGTTGTGTAATTTTTGAGTTTTACCTTATTTATGTAATTAAAATTTTTAATGTTAGTTTCGTATTAACCGAGAAGTCTATGCTTAACAACCAGATCAAAGGATTTGGGGAAAGATGGAGGAGATGGATTAGGGTTTGTATTTGCACTATTAGATTCTCTGTTCTTGTTACTGGTAGCCCCTTTGGCTTTTTATAGTTCGAGAAGTCTCAATCAAGAGGATCCATTATCTGTCGTGTTATTTATTCTTGTGATGGAAGCTCTGAGTAAGATGATGGATAGGGCGGCAGGTGGAGGATTTTGAGAGGCTTCACGGCATTGATCGGGGAGCAACGTAGTGTAAGAGTTATACACTTGCTCTTTGCCAATGACACATTAGTTTTTTCTGATTCATATATGGAGTTGTCTTTCTTGAAGCAGGTGTTGGTGTGGTTCCAAATTGTGTCAGGACTCAAAATCATCCACAGTAAGTGTTAGATTTTACCAGCGGGCCAGGTAGTTAACATCAATGAGCAAGCACAAGTGTTCAATTGCAAGGTGGGGTCTTTACCTACCACCTACTTGGGTTTGCAGGGGGATGCTTTGCACAAGGATATTGCAATGTGGAATCATGTCATAGGTAGGGTTAAAAGAAGGCTAGCAATATGGCAAAAGTGATACTTGTCAAAGGGTGGGAAAGAAGGAGCACTTTATCCCTCCTCTTATTATTTATTGTTGATGCAAGCACTAGTAAGAGTCATGGAAAAATTGGAAAGACTTCAGGGAAATTTCTTATGGGATACAGTGGATGACACCAAAAAGATCCACTCGGTGAATTGGAAAGTTGTTACAATGCCCAAAAAAAAGAGTGGACTGGGGTGAAAAATCTTAAGAGTGTCAATAGAGTTTTGTTGAGGAAGTGGCTATGGAGATTATGTTTGGAGGAGCACACATGATGGAGGGAAGTAGTAGAGAAGTATAATTCAATGGAAGGGGGATGGAGGACTAGAGCCATCACAATTCCATTTGGGTGCAGTATGTGGAGGAGCACAATGAAGGGGTGGAAAATTTCAGTGGTCATATTCCCTTTAGGGTTGGCGATAGGAGAAGAATTAGCTTTTGGAATCACAATTGGTGTCGTGAGAAATCCTTGAGGATTTTATTCCCTAATGTGCACAGAGTTATGAATCAAAGGAATTTGACAGTCCTCTCAATTTCGCATGGAGCATGAGGGAGAAGTACTTTGAGACCTCACGTTTAGGAGAAAAATGCAAGATTGGGAGGTGGGTGAATTTCAAAGGTTGTTGTAATTACTCTACTGGCAAAGCAGGCCGCACTTCAACATTGACTCATGGAGATGGGCGTTGAGGAGTAACAATTTGTTCGCACTCAAATCTTTCTTCCATAGTTTGTTGGTTAGAGAGAAGGCACTTTCCATATTCTTCGATTTGGATACCTAGGAAAGTGGGCTTTTTCGCGTGGTTGGCAACAAGGGGAGTGATGGGTGTCTTGAATTTCTTTGGCGTTCAATGGGTGATGGCAAGCACGGTTAGAATGGTAGACGTAGGGAAAAAAGACAAAAGCCATAGAAGATTGTTCCGTTAGCTCTTATGTGGGCCGTGTAGAGAGAAAAATAAAAAAAGTTTTGAAGGGATTGAGAATGATTTTGTTCATTTAAGGAGTAGCTTTAGGTCTTCCATTGCTTTTTAGGGCACCCTTGAAATTCCTACTTGTATAGATGATTGGGTGTCTTTTATAGAGAATGTTTTGTTGTAAATACTCTACTTTTTGGTATACCTCTTCTATACGGGAATATTTCCATTGTTAATAATATTATTTACCTTATAAAAAAAAAAGGAAATCTTACAGGAACGTACCAAAAAAGACAATATTTACCAACAACTAACCATTTTGGTTATACTACCAAAAATAGCCAAAAAAAAAAAATTACCACTGATATACAATATTCAAAAAAAAACATAGGCAAAAAAAGATTTTTCTCAAAGCGTATCGTACGATTCGTTGAAAATACACATATAAGACAAACATACAAAATTTGACAAATTTGAAGGTGAATTAGATTACTTTGGAGTAAAAATTCATTATCAATGATACACAATATTTAAAAAATTAGGCAAAAAAGTTTTTTTTTTTTTTTTTTGTTTTCAATGGGCATAGCTTGAATTAGTTGAAAACATATAGATGAGGCAATAAATAAAATTTGAGCAAGATTGAAAATGATTTGAACTGATTTGGTATCAAAACTCAGTTAAAATCGAGTTTGAAAAATTCTTCTGCAATATATGTATCAAATATATATCACACGTGTCTCCACACATACGTAGACATATATATACATTTGATACACGTGATAGATACTACACAAATGATACACAGAGTGATACACATATCATCTTTTTTCATGTTCATCTTCTACTCCGAATTTTCAACTCAAATTACCTCAAAACTCCACCAAACCATCCCAAAACTGAGAGTCAAACTCCTTAAGATGTACCCAATCTATTCCAAGAACACCCACTCAAAAGAAAGTAAAAAATTTAACCTTTTTTGGTTACAAATAGCTAATTGGCTAACACTGGTAGCATTTAACTAATATTAGTAATATTTTATGAATTGGCTAATTTTTATGTACTAATTTACTTATGGACGGACATAACTAGTAATTTCCCAAAAAAAAATCAGATAAATGAAAATAAAACCTAACCACGGATGCAAACCAGAAATTTTATTTGCTGTAGTTCACTGCGATGACTCCTTCCCTGGATAATGGTCCCACCGCTCCAATATCAACCATATTATAAAGACATCTCTGAAGTGAAGGACCTGAAGAACAACTCCTCTGCCTTCAATATGGAAATTACCTACGTCTAAGCTAGAATGGAAGAAACTGCAAGTGCACCTACCATACCAGAATTGCACCCCCCAAGTCAGATGCACTCGTCTTGCTCAGCCACTGTATGTCACACCTCAACTTTCAACTAAGAAAAGCATAAAAGAAAAACATAGGGCATTAAAATTGAAGTTAACGAGGTCTGAGCTTTCTAAAAATTCATTTGTTTGTCAATGTCCATGGCATATAACTAACTTCTGCTGCTTCACTGCATATGTGTTTTTGGACTGGTCAAATGATAAAAGATGTATGAATCAGCACCTTCCGAATTATATTCCTGAGCTAAATAATGCCACCAGAACATCTGCTTGTAAAATATCTACACCAAAACAAGAATTGATTTTGCTGCAACTACAATCAATTGCCAAATAACATTATCATCAAGTCCTTTTTCCTTTTTCTTTTTCTTTTGGAAGGTGGGGGAGGGGACAATATATCATTGCTACTTTATATTTACACAACAAAATGAACATATAAAAGGTCATTTCGAGAGAGAAAAAGCTACCGAACTTCTCCATCCTCACCAAATTCCCCATCTTTATGATCCTCATTGTCACCATCCCTAAGAGAACCACTCCGATGATCTCGCTTTTGTTTCTTATGCTGGCCCTCGGAATTAACTTCAGAACTCCACACGTGCTGGTCCACCTATTACATCAAAGCTCTATGCATTAGAAAGTTTCTCCCTAATCTTCAGATATTTTCAAAGATGATATCAGACCTGTTTTGACTTCTTATGATCATTATCATGTCTGTAAGAATTTCTTGAATGATCTTTCTCATTTTCATTGTCATCAAAGGAACTCATATGCCGCTTGCGGTGTTTCTTATCTCTGTCACTTCCTAACCTTTTGATCTCCTCGAAACTGTATGTATCAGCCTTGTCGCTGTCTGTGCCATCTTTCTTGGTTCTTTCCCTCTCTTTCCTGCTTTTATCCCCTCTGTCTTTATCCCTTCTATGCTTTTCCTTCTTCTTTTCTCTATCTTTCCTTTCCTTCTCTTTTCTTGACTGCAGAGCCATAATTCAAGGCTAGTCAGCTCACCTTGGATGCTTTGACTACATCTATGACCAAGATGTATATATTGATTTGTTATTAGGTTTTATTTTTGGGTTTATGTCATATATAGTTACATAGAGTATGAGAATCCTTTGCTATTACACGCAATATCTTACAAATAAAATATTAGGCGTTTATAAAGAAGTAATTTTTATTTGTTTCAGTTCAATAACTTAAATTAACCAAATATATCCTTTATATGTCGCAGTATACATTTATTTGGTTGTATCTCAGCACCCGTATCCGCACTCGGAATACCCCCAAATCCAAATATTTATGTAATGAAGAATCTGACCTCTAGATCCCCACCCGTACCGGATACCCGCACCCGAGTCCGAGACACATAGGTTTAAAGAGAGCTCCTTAGAATCTTATGGTTCAATAAGGGTGAATCTAAACTTTTCAGAAAGACAATAGAAGACAATCCATATCAACCGATATCACACCCATACCACCCACATCTACAACCCAAAATACGAAAGTGAGAGGAGAATAAGGGTTTGTAGTAAGTCAAGTACCTTATCCTCTTGCCGCTTCCGCTCCTTCTCTTTTGCCTTTTCTTTTAGTTCACTAATGAATTTGTCAAATATTTCCAGAAGAAAGCTCTCTTCGCCCATTATTCTGTAAAATAATAACAGCAAAAATAATCCATTCAATGTTACGACATAATGAGAATGTGAGAGTATGAGTAAAGAAGATATTAAATATCAAAAGCATTTCGTTACAGCAAAAGAGGATAGAGAAGTTAAAAGTAGAGATCATAATAATTACTTCACAGGAATCTAGAAACAATCCACAAATATCAGAAATGAAAAAACTAGTAACTGCTAGGTATTAAACTCTCGGTGTTGAAACAACTAATAATTGATATCAACCCATTTCCTTTGAGCGACAAGTAATTAAAAGTGATTTCGTGAAATGGTAATTCACGCTATACTATAAAAGACATAGCCAACTTAAACGTTGAGGAACATAAGCACCATATTATTCATCATATTGACTATTCTAAGTTATTTTCTAGAAGTATGTGAATTAATGGGATTAGAATATTGAAGGAGTTAGTTTTTGAAAATAATATCAATTATCAGAGTTTCCAAAGATCTGATCCTTGCAGTAATGATTACTAATTCTAGATCAATAAAAGCCAAAGTAGCTCCGTGCCTATCTCCAAAGATGGATTTGCAATCCTCCCATTTTGATGATGCAGTAATTTCCTGCAATCAGAGGAAAACAGATATACTGTTTTAAGGAAAACGTCATGGGATCGTTGCAATGTGAGAGATTATAAACTTTTTACTATACCTTTGATGTATGCAGAAGTTCATAGAATTCATCTGCTAGACGTTTACGTCTTTTAGCTTCTTTTTCTTCTCTCTCCCTGGCCCTTTCCAGTAACTCTTCAAAGACAAACTGTTTGGATGAAACAAGCAAATTCAATACTCAATGACTCGGCATGTCCAAAAGCATAGAGCAGAAAGTTTAGAAAGGAAGCATGGCAGAAGATGCAACATAGTCCGTGTATGACTTCTTATTCCTCCATTTGGAAAGGCAAGGGGGATAAGTTCTTTAAAAGTACTATTATCATCTTTTTGGAGTAATCCCTCATATAATATGGCTATTTTTTAACAAAGTACCTTACAGAGGTTTTGAAATGTTAAAAGTTCACTGTAAGCATACAAGAAGCTAACCAACTGTCTAAACATAAGTCCTCGATAAGATACCTTGCAATTCCCGAGTACATAAATTATAGGTTTAAACCATGAAAATAAAGAACTTCCAACACCCAAATGACATCAGAATATCCCCATTACAAAAATACAAAATAATTTTGATATCATCCAGTTATGTTGTTTCACCAAATTTGTAGAGTAAAACTCTAACCCTCTATAGCTATTACTTAATGTACATCTAACCATAATAAACAGAAACAAGGCAAACTGCTTTGGCATTAAGCAACTTGAGATATGTGCTGTAGGTGTAATATTAAGCACCGCTGTCCAGGAAAGAAATAAAGTAACTATGGGAATGGTCGCACGACAATAGAAGCAATAACCTTCCAGCATTAGCGGACGACATTAAAACTAACAAGTCCAATGACCCACTCTTCTGCAGCTCTTTTCAGGAAATAGCCTTCAGTAAAAGCAGAAACTAACACCAAATGTTGGATCAATGTGGTCCTCGCCTTTTTGCTAGAAGGTTTCAGGTTTACTTGTTAACCGACGCACAAGTCTTCTTTTAACTCCATTACTAAAAGATGCAACAATTTATACGGTATAGGTTGTGGGCTTGTGGCTGATACTAATGAAAAATGACACTAACCCCAGCTGACTGACTACCTTGGAGTTGCCAATTTTGCTTTCATAAAGTGACCAGCTTCCAGTGAAACATAACATGGAAGTACCGCTTACGCCTTACCACTCAGTCCAATCAACTTACTCAGCACCTCACCAAACACAAAAAGGAGACAAATATATACAGATTTATATAGTGAAAGAGCGTACTTTAGTTTCACTTAAAACTCAATTCTAACAAAAGCTCGATGCGGAACAGAGTATACAGTGCCTTAGCCATAATTAGACCTTTAAGTTGGTATCTGATATTGGTGGAGAGCTAATATCCTTTGCAATTGCAACCTTAAAATCTTCAAGCATCCAGGTTGATGTCAGTCCTATCTGAAAACAGAGACGGCTCAGCAAAAATATTAGGTACTGACCAGAGCACCGCAATGGTTAAATATAAAGAGTAATGGTTACCTCAGCCATCCTAACTGCATCTCTAATGCGTGACTTGTCATCAAGATACTGCAGCAAGATAACCAAAATAAGATATTATATGGAGCCTCGTCCATGCATTTGAGTTACCATTAAGTCTATAAATTACAAGCAGGGTGATGGCATGAAATTTTTGTCATGAATACATCATTTCTCGATTTGTTCAAAGTAGGACATCTGAAATACCACAATGCAATTGACTTGATTGCATTGATCAGGTTGAATTTGAAGGCAAAATCAAGCACCACAGTTTGGATAAAAGCAAAAATTATTGAACGGTATCTCTGTTAACAAGAATCAGTTATGCACGTTAACAGTAATACAAACTTTAAGCATAGAAGTCGGCATCTTTATCTCAGAAGAAAAAAAGGATGTCAGCATTTGACTATGAGGGTGTTTGGCTAAGCTTATAAGCTGGTCAAACTAGCTTATAAGCATTTTTCGGCCTATCTACGCGTTTGGTAAAGTTAAAAGTGCTTATAAGTCAAATAAGCCAAAAGCCATAAGCTGGTCACCCCCAACTTATGAATTTTTAGCTTATAAGCACTTTATGTTTGACCAAAAATTTTACTATTTTATCCTTAAAATATTTCTTTTTAGAACAGAACTCCTACATCGATACTCACCGTCTCAAGTATTCAACCTAAACCCTCCCACCCCACACCCCCACACCCCCACCTTCCACCTCTTCAAGTCTGCAATTCTCATTGACTATTTAAGATAAGCAAATTATCTATTTCTTTGCATACTTATCTATGTGATTGTGTATTAATCTTTGAACTGTATGTAATAAATGAGGACATATCAAATTTTTGGTGTATTTAAAATAAAATAACAAATAGAATATTTTGTATTTGAGTCGATCTGGAATCTAAAATTTTGAAGAAATTACGCCCTTATAAGTTTAAACAGTTCTAAGGTTATTTAAGTCATTTTAACAGAAAAAGAGCTTATCAGCACTTTTTAATCAAATACTGCAGCAACTTAGTATAATTTCAGCACTTGTACCCAAACACGTAACTGCTTATTTATTAAATCAGTTTCAGCACTTAAAAGTGTTTTTCAGCACCTAATGCTTATCGGCTACTTCAAATCAGCTAAACCAAACGGGCTCTATATTTCGAAAACGCATCTAAGAAAATATGATCAAATCTAATCATTGAAGGAGAGTAGGAACATGATCATTACTATGCTGAGGATACCAGCATGGACCTCTTTCATCAAGCAAAGAGATAAATACGGATAACTTTGATCATTAACTTAAATTCTTTTAGGAAGGGGCAGAAAATGAAAGAAGATATCTTTTAGTTAGTGGAAGTGTCTAGCCAAAGGCCAAAAGAGGCTTGAGTTTAGGAACTAGGTTTCTAAGTAAAATTTCTCTAGTGGGAAGTAGTTATTGGATTCCTCCAAATCCCAAGGAAATATGGCCTCCATACAAATGAGTGAATGCAAAGTAAAAGCAATAACCATGTGAGACATAACATTCATCTAGCAGGTTAACTTTTTTTTTCCCTATTGCGTCTTATAGAATCGGAAAAGAAACATCTAATCATTTCCGAGAGAATAACTCTAGTCCAAACTCTCCTTCCATTTCTTTAACAATGATTTTCTTTTTCTTTTGATAATGTGTTTAAGATTGGTAACTGCCTCTCATGAATTCATAATGCTTTGACCCTAGATGTTACCAATATTAACGCATTCTCCATCTCTTTAGAAGTGTAAATGTTATACAACTTGGCCATATGATAGCTTAATTAATTCCATAACCTTTGGATTACAATTGATGTTTGATAGTTAACATCGCCTTATAGAAAGCAAGTCTTCTCACATGTATACTCCTTTCTTATCCACACCCAGTCGTTGTCTTTTGATTTATCAATTTTTATTTTTATTTTGAAACTTGTATCCAATAAACATTTTGGGAAGTATGTAAGATCCTAAACCCTTTTTCCTGCAAAGATTCTTCTGTGTTGGAAGTGCATAAAAAGAACTTCCCAAAGTTTCAGGGACTCGAGGACTTCAAAAACTGCTATTGAAATCAACTTTTCAAGGTTCTTCAGATGATCCAAAATACAGCAATTATCCTCCCAAAGAACAAATGACAGACTTTGACAAGCATGCTAGCCGAACATATCTTCTTTAAGTAAGGCCCCCTTTTGTTAAAGGAATTTTCTTTTATGATGAGGTAAGATTTTATTAGAAAAAACAGTATCAAGCTGATACTGTTTCTTTGTAAGATTCCTTTTGTTAAAGCAATTATTCTAACCCATTCACAACGACATTTCTTTTTGGCACGCATGCTAGTCAAACATATTTTCAGTAAGTAAGGCCCATTTACAATGATATTTCAAAAGCAAAATTTCTCCCAACAGACACTATGCACCTACAGGTGGGCTTGCGTAACAAGATAACGTTTCCATATAATAGGGTGGAGGAGAGTGTTGTTGAAACATTGTACAAGAACTTGCAGTTCTTCCAGTATGCAACTACTTGTAATGCTAAGCTAGAGTGCCATCCAAATATGTGCTAAGGTATGCATTCAGGAGATCGTATCATCAGAAATGACAACTAAATATCAATGGATCACTCTAAGTACTAGTAACCTTCTACTAAATATTAATGCATCACCCAAAATACACGTAACGCTGTAGTTTATGTTTTCTTTAAGAAAGCCTTCCCTCTAGTTTATGCTTCTCAAGAAAAGAGCAAAGTTTATATCATGAAGCTTGCACTAGTAGAATCTGTCAGAGATTCTGTCTCTGATTGAAGAGCAAACAAAGAAGATCGTGGAGGCATGTCAGGCTTCAACTGGTAATTGACTAAAATGCTTCAGATCAAAAAATTTCTAACGGCTGATTTAATAAATCCCGTTACAAACTGTAGTTGACAGATATATCACCAATTTAGTCCTTGCTTGCTTTAAGAAATCAATTTGGTTGTTTGGCACCATGATCTCTGCAGAACACTCAGTTTGTAAATTCAATCTGTGTTTGTCTAGTGGAAAGGATATGAAAACCTTATAAAAAGAAAATCTGTGCACACACCTTTTCACATAGCAATTGTGCCACAAAAGTATAGTCCTTTTTCTCTAACCTCTAAATTCCATATCCTACAATATTATTTCCATCAGTACCTCCTTTTCCTCTTTGATATCAGGCCGAACTAAGCATGATTTGGTAATACTAATCAACAATAAAAAGCAAAATGCTATCATCCACATAAATTCACATGAAACATATCTCCCACGCCATAAGAAACTTCACCAGTACATTTGTGAGCCAATGTACTACTTAGATAGATACTAGCAACCTATGTTCACCTGTTTCTCCAGCTCATCAAAAACATCTTGAAATAAGTCTTTTGCTGTTGGCCCTGAGGTATTTGATGAGACAGCCAGATATGCAGGTAAATCTTTGACCTGAAAGCACAAAAAATAAAGGAGATTCTTGGTTATGAAATTCAAAAAGAACACAAAACAAAAAGGAAATTAATGAATATAATCACTCTCAGGGAAAGTAAGAAAGAATTAATAACCTTGATGCAATAATCACGCCAGTTAGTTTTTGCATTAAGTATTCCCGCAGCAACATGCTCTTCCATCAGTTTTCGGAACTCATCACGATTTTTACGTTCTGCTTTCCTCATTTCATCCTATTTGAATCCATGGTATATGTTCAGTAAGAAAGAGATAAAACAAAGTCTCAAAAGGTAAACTTAATGGAAAACCCCAGAGTCCAATTAACAATATACCATCCGCAGCTTCCTATGCTCCTCCTCTTCCCTCTCTAAATCACGTATATATTCCTAATGTACAGAAAAAGAAAAGAAAAAAAAAGGTTGCAACATAACTTCAATGCTGGTGCTTACAAAATGAGATGTTAAAAAAATTGTTTGTGTAAGTAAAATAAGAACTACCTGGAAAATCTCCAAACGGTCAATTTTCTCAAGGCGAGAGCATCTTTCATCATCTTCTAAGCGGTCCTGAACTTTCCGCCACTGGCTGCTGGCCTGAACAAAAGAAGTCAGCAACAAAAGAAAGCTCTACCTCCTGGAAATGGAAAAACATAATATAGGAACTGATGCTAATTCCACTGGGACAAATACCTTAATAAAGTCACAGGATTTTAAAAATTCTAAATACTCCACTCGGTTGCGCTTCTGCTCCTCCAATGCCCTTGCACGCTCCTAAAAATGGTTCAGTACAAAGTAATAAGATAAAATTTCTCTTTAAAGCAGACCACTTCTAGCAAGGAACATCATCTACACTTGCATGAAAGTATTGAAAAGCTTCTTCTATTTTTTGGGGCGAAAGGGAGCAGCAGAGGGAGGGAGAAAGAAGCGTGCCATGGTTTCGATTCAAGCAAAATTACACTCTATACAGGAAAGACGGAAGGGTGAAGATAAGAAAGTGTGTGCAGAAATACCAATTAAAAGTCTGTTTAAATTGGAATTCATCGGTGAACAAATTTAAAATGCTGTCGCCCCTTGAGAACCCATTTAAAATTTATTCAATTAACACTAGATTTTAAGTTGAAACTTTAAAAACACTTATTTTTTCCCTCTTTATACCAAAAAAAAAAGGTCAACAAATTAAAAGACGTTTTGCAGAGGGAATGGAATGAATATTTTTAAGGTAATGAACCGAGAACCTAACTCAATTCTGAAAGCTAAGGTGGGGAGAATTGTCCAAGACCATATAAGGAAACTACAGCCCATACACCTAACTGATGAGGCATTCTTACACATTAATCGCATGCCCAAGACTGGACAGAGCATAGAGTAACCTACGTGGCTAATATTGAATAGTCTAGCATCAGGATAGGTCTGCCTCTTAAACCATGTTTAAGATTGTCCAAGACCATATAAAGGAAACTACAACCCATAAGCCCAACCGATGTGGGATTCTAACACATTAATTGCACACCCAAGACTGGACACTTTTGGGGCGTTGAGTAACCTTGGTGGGCTAACATTGAATAGTCTAGCTCTAGCACTACCATGTTTAAGAAAATGGACCTTGTGGCTTGTGCCTAACTCAACATGAAAGGCTAACTCAATTAGTGAGGCTTGTCCAAGATCATACAAGGAAATTACAGCCTGCAACTTAACGAATGCTGGATTCTAACAAATACAAGCAGACAAGAATTGATTGACACAAGGGCAATCCACAACTTCTTGTAAGTGCCTTCCTTTACTAACAATGTGGAAGAAGATTCACCTTTTTCTCAAGTTCCTCCATATAATCTTCAAAAAGGTCCTCACGATCTTTTGCTCGTTCAACAGCTTTAAAACGTTCATCATGTTCGAATATGGAGATTGCCTTACTGAATAATCAATAGCAGATAGTTAGTGGATCAAACTGAACTTGCACAAATGATGAAGCAAATTCAAGGTACACAAAAAATACAAACAATGATCAAGAACAGAAAACCAGCAGTATACAAAGCATTACAAATGAAAGACAAACCTCCATCTTGTAGATGGTGCCAGCTCCTTGCACTCCTGTGGAAGATTGAAAAATAACAGCAATTGTTGTGAAAATTATCAAATCTTTTTTTTTTAAATAAGTGAAATATACCAAGTGTCTTACACATTAAGATATATCAAATGGAAGAAACTCACAAAAGAAAATCATAAAAAGAACATTTCGCTTACTTCTAACATTATCCTGAAATCTTCCCGAGCTTTCTTCTGTTTAATACGTCTCTCTTCAGCTTCCAGTTTTTTCTTATGGCTTAGATACTGGAACAGAACACAGAACTTGCTATTAAGCTACAGATCTTATCTTTTTTTAAGTACAGTATGCTGAAACATTGAAGCAGCAATTGACCCATTTCAGATATTTGTTATGTAACCAAAACATCAACTGGAAAGGGAAAATTTTCTATCAACTGCATCATCATCAAATGCCTACTAGGAGAGATACCTCATTAAAAGCTTGCTTCCGCTCACCAAGAGATTTTAGAGCACCATATCTCCGGTCATTGATTATTGCTCTCATTGCCTGACAAATACAATTCATATCAAATGATCTTCCTCAATTATTCGGCATGCACAAAACAAAGCAAGTAATAAACCTGATCCCACGTCCAGTCAGACCCAATATTTGCAGACTCCAGAAGAATTTTGAATGCACTCTTCGCCTCCTGAATTTAGCAGCCAAGAGTTGAAGACAATATGCAAAAGGATATCATAACATGCAACGTAAGCAATAACTCAAGGCAATAAAGCTCAGATACTAAAACAGGAGAATAGGAGAACGAGAAATTTTCAGAACATACAACAAAGGGAGAAAAACGGAAGAACAATTAAATTTACCGCTTTGCTCTCATAAACTAATGGTCCCGGCTCAACTGTTTTCTCTTCTGATGGAGTAACACTTCCTGTTTCAGATATCATAGCATCTTTCTTAACTTCCTGCATTTAAGGCGCAACATCAAGCACAAAGTACAAAAGAGAAAAACTCAATCGGAACATAATCTTCACCTGTTAGCAATTGACTAACAACTGCAGTACATTGTTGGATCAACATCCAGCTAATAAAAGCTTTCTTAGGGTTTTAACCACTAGTACTTACCTAATCACATAATTATTTCAAAAAGGCAAAGTACCTCCGTATTTTCCAGAGAAACTCCATCTTCATACACTACTGAGTCCTGAGCTGAAGGAAACTCAGAACTAGTCCTGCAAAAATTGAAGTCCAAATATGATAGCAACACAAGCCAGAGGCAAATTTAATCTGAAACATATGAATCTTTCTAGCATACACTGGTGTTGCAACAGAATTTTCCAAGGTTACTGCTGTTCCATTTTTCTCTGAAGTAGCAACAGCTGGCGAGGCTGGTTCCAAAGAATTCTGCATTTCGACTGCACCAATCGTCAGGGAAGAAATATTACCAGATAAACTTGATTCTGAAGCCACAATAGCTGGTAAGTTAGAAACTGGTGCCACAGCAATTGGGCTTGACATAGCTCCTTGTGCTGAGACTGGTGAACCATTTGCACCGGGGGATGATGTTTTCACACCAGAAATGGATCCAAAATCAGAAGCGTGTGAAATACTATCCCTTTCTTTTCCCAATCCCTTGACTAAATCCACTTTCATACTCTGACGAGCCAACTGTGGATGCATAAATAACAGATTTTTGAGAAACAGATACAACAAAACAGAATATTTTCCTCTTTTTTTATCATGCAATTAAAGCAATGAAAAATCCATATTGGATTTAAAATTTAACATCACCTTGACTTCATCAGGCATTTTCCATTTTGACTTTCTAGTAACCTTGTTGTAGTAATACCTGTAGAGAATAATCAAAGCAATCAGCATTATGCATAAATAACACACAAAAGTATCCACACTGTAAAAGAACAACCAGAACAAGGACAAGAAGAACCTATATAAGTTACACACTTTTTTCCCTGAGGACTTGTAAATTCTCTCCAGTCAGTTGATGCATCCGCCCTCTGTCCCCAATGAATACAGAATGAAAGCAGGTCAAGTCAAAAAACTGAACATACAGTATCTCAGGAATAGATATCAGTAACTTCCAGCTGTACAGTCTAGGATGGAACATGGAAGCATGCGTGCAGTGGGTCAAAACAACATATGCATCAAGAAAGACAGCCCTCAAACAAGCGATAATCAAAAACCAAAGAAAACATGCAAATTCAAATGTTGAATAAGAAAACACTGACATTAACACCAGTCAGACGTTATTGATATCCCCTGCCAAACTTCAAAAGAGAAAAGGAAAAGGCCCAAATTGCCCTTGTCGTTTGTGAAATTGTCTACTTTTACCCTCCTTAAAGTTGGGGTCAATCATACGAACAAAGAATGAAGGTAACTCCGACGATATATCATATGTTCCCTCCAAAGAGAAGAAGTCAGGACACCTATGGTTTCTCATTGTATGACACATATTTAGGCAAATAGATCCAAAGAAAACGTGCATTGTAGCCTCATCTTAAAGTACTAGTCAAAGAAACTTGTTGCTTCGTATATCCATTTATGATTCAACTAAGTCCTAGAACACCTGAATTAATTTCCAAAAGTTTATAAAGTTTATTTGTGGTTTGGGACCTTCCTCAACAGATTAATTTTTGGGGTCTTGGCAAAATCCTAAATTATCATTCTTCCACTTTTTTACTTCTTCCATGTTTTGTGCATATTTATCTCAATAGGATAATATTTTATGCTTTGAATAGCAACATTACTGCTTTGTAAGTGTTCAGCTATGTTGCGCGGACTCTCCAAAATGTTGCCGCACCCATGTCAGATCCTCCAAAAATACACTACTTTTTGGGGGATCCGACACGTATCTGGCGACATTTTCGGAGAGTCGGAGCAACATAGGTGTTCAGACTTACTTATACCTCCAGCTCTTAGTCCCTTAATATTTGTCCCTCGCCTTAAACAATCAAAGTCCAAAAATCTCAACCAGCCAAACTACTCATCTGTAAACCAGAATGAAAAGAGTGAACCTCAGTCTTACATCAAGTTTCCACTCTCCATCTAGCTATAGAGTGACAATGACATTACATTAATCAAGACAAAAAAATTGCTGGTAAAAAAATGGCCCAAAATAATCATGTAATGCATATGCTTAACACACATCTTTTAGACCAATAGTGGAAAATACAAAATTTTTTATAGCTATACTGGAAACAAAAGGCAAATGAATATCCCAAATGAAGACTACATGTCCTTCCTCCGTAGTCAAATCTGATGATACGCTTTGGCGATGTTACCTACCAAATAAAAGGCCTGCTAGATGATCGAAATCGCTCAGGTCAGTGAGGACTCACTCACTCACCTACTCATCTGCTCTCTCTCTCCGAACATTATGCAGAAATCACAGATGTTCAGGAAAGAAAGAGTGTTGAAGCTTCATACTTCAAGAATAGGATAAAACTTTTTTTTTAAGTACAAGAAATTGGATAAAACTAAACCGTCACTACCTGCATAAAGCAAAAGACTAAAAGCTGGCTGACAAGTGACCTCACCTCCATTTCTGTCATCAGCTCTAGAGGTTTCTCCCAGCTAGAGATTCTTGTCCTTCGATTATAATAATATCTACAAATCAATTGCAGAATTGTAAGAAAGTTAGTAATTGGTTGAAGTGATAAACCCATAGGAAATATAATAACAATAGCAAGCATGATTGGCAAGTGATCATTAAAAGATGCTGAATTAGCAATACCTACTAGCATGAATCCACATGTAAAAGATGTATGATGGTAAATTGGGGTCAAAATAACTTCATTGATTGAGGTGGATCAAGTTCTGCTTATCAATAGTCAGATAGAACTTGGTCGCAGTGAATGGCAGTCCATGCGGTGTCTTTGGCAGTCCGAGGGGACTCAGACTGCAGGGCACATTGACTTCGATACTACTGGAACAAAAATGATGGACAAAGCAGTTGTAGGTGGATACTTGAGGGACTTCTCGACAGTGATGGGAGCCAGTTTACCCACTACTTGTTCGCAGACAACACATTAGTGTTTGTGATGCAGACATTAACCCAACATGGTATGAGATAGTATCAAGATCTGAAGATAAACCTCACAAAGTATGAGATCATGTGAGTGGGCGGTGCAGTGGACCATATCGATTTGGAGCTCTACCCGCTATACATCTTGGTGTGCCTTGTGTGCGTCTAACAAGGACCAAACAACGTGAAAAGTGATGGTTGAAAAGAGATTAACAGGATGGCAGAGGAACTATTTGTCAAAAGGGAGGAAGGGAGTACAGAGTGCTTTGTCGACTATTCCGACATGCTTCATGTCACCGCTACAAGCACTGGTTAGTATTCATATAAATTAGAGAGACTCCAAAGGAACTGCTTATGGGAGTAAGGAAAGGGGGCTCCGAAGCTTCACTTAGTCAGATGGGAGAGAGTGACGACACCAAAGAGATGGGGAGGCCTCACGGATAGATTTTCATGTTTTCAGCAAGGCTCTACATAGAGATTTGAGATCGAGGAACAAGCTCTATGGAGGGGGTAATAGCGGAAAAACATGAAAGGTGGATGGGGCCAAGGACTTGAAACACATTTTCCTTTTGGGAGCAGCCTGTGGAGGAATATTATGAAGGGATGAGACGAGTTCAACGGATACGTCATATTTAGGGTTGGGGATGGAACTAGGGGCAATTTTTGGCAGCACATGTGGTGTGGTTGATTCACAGTTTCACACATTTCCAAACATATACAGAAAGAAATGACAGAACAACGGGTAAGGATGCATGAGGAGGAATTCAATGGGACTTGAAGTATAGGAGGAGTGTCTTGAAGATTGGGAGATAGATGAACTTGAAAGCCTATTTGAAATGTTCTACAAGGTAAACGCATTGCTTGTCAAACAGGACTAATGGAGATGGGGTTGGGATCAACAGGAGGCTCTCAGTTAAGTCGTACTACCATAAGCTTTTGGTTAGAGAAGAACTAGCATCCCTGTATCTATCAATTTGGCTGGGACACCAGAAAGGTATGATTTTTGTCTTGGTTGACAGTAAGAGGAGTGATCTCAACAGCGAAACTAGAACGAGGAGGATTACATATGTCAGTTGGTTTTATGTATAACACTTCGTGTAAAGATATAGATCATCTCCGTTTGCATTATATGTAGCATATCAGCTATGGTGGGAGATTTTGAAATGCATTATATGTAGCATATCAGCTATGGTGGGAGATTTTGAAATGGTTCGGCTACAATGGAGGATGTCAGGCACAGTGAAGGAGGCAATATTAAGTTGTGCTTTCAGAAGAAGGGAGAGAAGACAAAGGTGTGGGATGTTGCTCCCACTAGCTCTTATGTCCTTCCTTTAAAGGGAGAGAAATATGAGAGCTGTTGAAGAGATAGAAAGTGATTGTGTACATTGATGAATATTACCTCTAATTTCTTTTTGGTGCACCAATTAAAATCCAGTTTGTAAGGAGATTGGGTATCTTTTATAGAGAATCATCTTTTTTGTGGATTTTCTACTTTATGGTTATACAGCTTATTTTCCAAACTAATTCCTATCATAATAAAGTTATTTTACCTTTAAAAAAACATAGTAAAGAGTGCATATAGAAGCATTCAGCCGTAAGATATTGTTTTGATGCATTCCACAAACTCTTCTACTTATTTCTCAAAGTTACACTGTAGCAAGGGCATGGAATAAGATGCTAAACATGAGAGATATCAGTTGAGTATGCAAGGAAACATGAAGAACCATTTTCCAGAGTCGCGACAGAATTACAAGAAGAAATAGACATTGCTTGGGAAGTGACATTTCCAGCAATGATGTGGACAATTTGGCGAGAAATTGAAGAGTCTTAAAGAGGAAAGGAAGTGCTAACTGTCAACTTGCCTGGCGAGCAGACATCTGAGATAAGCAGCACATTTAACATTTTGACAGATGGCGTGTAGCAAGACGATCTAGAAAGAGGGATAAAAGCTCTAAGTTCACATCATCAGCTTCTATTTGATGGGAGCCCTCCCTTTTTTGGATGCCCAGAGTGAATTCCTCTAGGAACAACTGAACTATTAGCCAAAGGTCTAATGACTCTCAAATACACGTGTTCTAGGGAATTGAACGTCATATTCTTATGAGTACCTAGGTGAATATAATCCAAAAGCAAGGATTCCGATAAGTCAAATTCGGCATGCTCTTCTTTTAGTGTCTGGAGCACTCAAACTATAAATGATTGGATCTGGATGAAAAGCTAATACTTTTCCACTCCTTTTCTTGTATACCAATGTTTTATATCAGTACATTCACTGGAATCTTAAACGTTTGCTTACCAAAAATTGGAGTATCATAGAATTGAAAATTTGACTCTCTTAGTGACTACACACACCCATTAACCTTAACATGTTACCAAGTATTAAAACCAAGTCAAAAAGGGAAATCACATACTTCTTTCCATTTCCAGAAGTATGTTCAATCCAATCTGACGGAGTAGCCTCAACAGAAATTGCAGTATCATAGAACTGAATTTGACTCTCTTAGCCATTACACACACCCATTAACCTTAACATGTTACCAAGAATTAAAAACAAGAAAGAAGGTAATCACATACTTCTTCCCATTTCGAGAAGTATGCTCAATCCAATCTGACAGAGCAGTCTCAACAGAGTCAACCCCGTAAACAGCTTCCTGAAACCCAAAATATATTAAAAACATTGAAACAGATAGAAACATAAACAATTAAACACACTGAATTCTCACTGGAACAGCCAAGTGGGCTGCTAGTTCCCCAGTCTTCTGCATATTTGTCACAGAGTTCACATTATGATTACTTGTTGACATCCAGGGTTGTCCCCCTGACGGAAAACTATGATCATGTATCTGCATCTGATACTGGGAGCTGGAAGAATCTGCATTTACCTGCTGTTTCCCACAAGATGAAGATGGCAAACAGAAATGACGAATTTCAACAATATGATGAAAGAAAACATTGAAAACTAATAAAACAATAACCGCAAGAGCTCTTCTCAAGGTCTTACATTATATGAAGAAGATAATGGCAAACTTGGGCCACCTGCACCAGGCATGTGGTTATTTGACATTGGAAGATTTGGCTGGAGTGGTGCTTGAACAGGAGTGACAGGCCTATTTCGCTGAAAATCATGGGGTGTAGGCGGTCCTTGAGGCATGCTATGTCCTCCTACTACAGGTCTACCAGCAACCTGTTGCATTGGTTGAGGAAATTGGATTTGTGACGGTTGAGGAAGCATTGCAACATTTGTATGTCCAAGTGGCTGAAATTGTTGAGATGGCCCGGAAACATATGGTTGTGCCTGCTGGGGTGGAAGCATAGGCTGGAACTGCTAAAACGTGGGAAACATAATTATCATAGCAATTCTATAGTCAAACACCATTTATCCCTCCGCCCCAGCCCCCAAAATACGTAAAAAAACTTTACCTGCAGCGACATGGATGGAATAGCACCCTGATGAGGACCTGGAGGACCAGCCAAAGGCGGAATAGGAGGCTTCTCAACCAACATTCATGCAAGGGAGAATGATGAAATCAGCAATATAACTACTTTTCAATCACATTTATAGCCTGTTTGGCCAAGCTTCTAAAATCAGCTTATTTTGAGAAGTGCTTTTCTCAAAAGTACTTTTAAAAAAAGTGCTTTTGGTGAGAAGTAGTTTGTGTTTGGCTAATTAATCAGAAAAGCACTTTTGAGCAGTAATTAGTGTTTGGCCAAGCTTTTGAAAACTGTTTCTAAGTGTATTTTTCTCAAAAGTACTTCTCAGAAAAGTACTTTTGGAGAGAAGCTACTTTTTTCCGCTTCTCCAAAACTGCATCTGCTTCTCCTCAAAAGCACTTTTTTTCCTTCCAAAAGCTTGGCCAAACACCAAAAAAGCACTTTTGGCCCAAAAAAAAGCTTGGCCAAACAGGCTATTAGTTGATTTTCCAATCATTGCAACAATGTTGAGAGTATCCATGCACAACTGCCTAAATTAATTCGAAGGACAAGACCTGAATCTGGGAGACAAAAAGGATAGTAGCATGAAAACCTTTTTCTTGTTTTGATAAATCAGATAATCTTTCATAATAACAAGATGGTGTAAAACTGTGTACAAAATAACTGGTGTGGCTCAACCACAGTCATCATCTAATCAATACAAAGCTTGAAATGAGAATAACGACAGATAGCAAACATATGGCCTATCATAGCGTTTGACCAGAATGGACAAAATTATAAGTATCTTTATCTAAAGGCTTGGGTTCAACTGCTTCTGATGGCCAAAGTGTCTTTTCTTTTCGGGTTACAAGAAACACATCTTTTAATGCAAAAATTTTGTCAAACTAGGATAAAACTAGAATATATTAGTGAGACTTCAGCTAAGCTAGTTAAGATGCAACTCACTGGTAGTTTATTGAGTTGAGTTGTTATTCTAGACGGGTATGATTACTTTTTAATAACCATCTGACATAGTCTCATTCCACCCCACCCACTATCCATTAATACACCTATCCAAGCCAACTAGTTCTTTCTACCTTTGAGCCACAATGTCCAAATCAGCCGTTAAGGGCTCTCTCTGTCTTTACCAGGTAATTGCAGAGTACAGAGTACTGAATCTTTTAACTTATGACAAAACTTCCAAGAAAATTAACACTGAGAATTGGCCAGAAAATGAAGTAACTTTCTAAGAATCTAAGTTGCTCCGAGATGGCAGTTTAGGTACCGTACCTGTGTCGACACGACACTAGTATGGGTGTGGGTATGGGATTCGTACCGGATCTGGTCAATCAATTTTGGATACTTTGACCACATCAGACAGAAAATTTCAAGACGAGATACAATTTGATTCCCGAAATCAGAACTAAAACTAGGGTAAATCTAAAGAAAATAGCATACCTTATATAGGAAATCAATCATTTACTTATCTACAACTTGAGAATAAAGAAATTCACACTTTACAAGCTAAGTATTCCACAAAATTTCTCACTATTTAGAGAGTATTTTTATATTTTCATTTTTTTTGAATTATTTTTAGCCGGATCCCCCCACCCGTATCCGTACTAAGACTCATATCCCCGAATCTTAGAATTTACATCTCGAAGGATCCGACCTCTAGATCCGCCGCCGTGTCCAAGCAACTTAGCTAAGAATACATGAAATCGTCCACCTCACTCTCATCTAAACTTAGAAGAAAAGGAATCTACACTAAAACGGGATGGACGGAAAGCACCGTCAGACGGAAGAAAAATGAAAACAAACTGATGGCCATGTGATGCAAAAAGTAGAACTACTTTACAAACAGAATGCATTGCAACTTGTACTTGAGAGTTGGAGGTGGGAGAAGGGGAGGGATAGACAGTTCTCAGTCAAATTATTCTATTACAAACTTCTAGTAAGGAATGAAGTAGACTTCCCCCATTTTTCGATTTGGATACCAAGGACGCCCAAAAAACGTCGCTTCTTTGTGTGGTTGGCTGCTAAGGGAGCAATATTGACTGCCGAGAATTGAGAAGGAGAATCATACGTGTTAGCTGGTGCTATATGTGTAATTGTTCAGGAGAAGATGTGGACCACTTACTACTACATTGTCAAGTAGTTACGCGCCTATGGTGGGAGGTCCTAAACTGCTAAAGAGTACAATGGGTCACGCCAAGAACAGTAAAGGAGGCAATGTATAGCTGAGCTTTCAGAAGGAGGAGGAGAAGACCCAAGGCATGGGATGTAGTTCCAGTAGCTATATATGTGGGTAGTTTGGAGGGAAAGGAATAGGAGAGCGTTTGAAGGGGACGAGGATGATTTTGTACATGTAAGGAGCAGCCTCATGTCTCTAGTTCCTTTTTGGTACACCCATAAGGTCTTGTTTGTATAGATGATTAGGTGACTTTTGTAGAGAAACATATTCCGGTCAAAGTTGCTGTACTTTTTGGTATACTACTTGTATATGGAGGCTAGCGTCTGGAGTCCTGTGCAACAAGAAAGTGCCACTGAAACTTAAAGGTAAGTTCTATAGAGCGGTGGTTATACCGGCCATGTTGTATGGGGCTGAGTGTAGGCCAGTTAAGAATTCTCATATCCAGAAGATGAAAGTAGCCGAAATGAGGATGTTGAGATGGATGTGTGGGCACACTAGGCTGGATAAGATTAGGAATGAAGATATTCGGAAGAGGGTGGGCGTGGCTCCCATGGACGTCAAGATGCAGGAAGCGAGACTTAGATGGTTCGGGCACGTGCAGAGGAGGAGCCTAGATGCCCCGGTTAGGAGGTGTGAACGGTTGACTTTGACAGGTACAAGAAGAGGTAGAGGGCGGCCTAAGAAGTATTGAGGCGAGGTGATCAGGCAGGACATGGCGCAACTTCAAATTTTCAAGGACATGGCTCTGAATAGGGAGGTGTGGAGGTCGAGCATTAGGGTTGTAGGTTAGAGGTAGTTGGGCGTTTTTCCGGCTAGTCTGATAGTGTTTTGTCTAGGTCTGCTAGCGGTTTTTGTTCTTCACACGATTTTATTTCCAATTTTTATTTTTTTCAATTTTATTATTAGCATACTTATTGTCCTTCCACTTATTTGTTGTTACGATGCTGATACTATTTGTCTGGTTTCTGTTGTTGTTACAGATCTTTTGTCTCTGAGCCGAAGGTCTCCCGAAAACAGCCTCTCTACTCCCCGGGTAGGGGTAAGGTCTGCGTACACCTTACCCTCCCTAGACCCCACTAGTGGGATTATTACTAGGTTGATGTAGTTGATGTTGATTTCCCTTACATTAATTAAAATTAATTACCTTACTAAAAAATAGGGCCAATAGCATTTTTAGTCCATGTGTTATTGCATTATTACATTTTAGTCCTTGGATATGTGAAGAAGCACATTTGACCTTCAATAAAGCAATGTGTGTGTCTAGTCCTTATACTAAGGAACATTAAACAAAATTATGGGCTGTTAAACATCAAGGACAACAAATTCAGGCATATAATTTTCCCTTGTTTTGTACTCCATAAATTATTTCTTGTAGTATTCTGCTGGGTTAGTCATCAGACGTGGCAATAAGTTGAAAAGCAACATTGAACGCTCAAGACTAAACTTTGCATTTGTTATCGTCATGTTCTGTTTCTATCTCGTTTAAGCATGCAAAGGTCATCTGAGCTTACATTTAATCAAATCCTACATAGTTTCAGAACAAAAATTCATGGGAGCAACTGGAGAAGTGGAGAACCCCCACCGTCAAGCAGCAATCGCAGGCAGAGGCTTCCAAGGATAACGAGCAGCATCTGGCGACGAAAAAGCCTGTTATATCAATGAGAAGAAACCCAGAAATTTGCCGAGGTTATTATTCATTCTCCTTACCCTCGGGAAAACCTCCATTTTTCTATCGCTACTTTCACATTCACTAGTATTTCATATGGTGTTACTTTCAGTTTTGCTCAGCTCGTCATTTTCATTTGCCAATTTTGGTGAATTTAGATTTTGTAGCTTGCAATTTCAGTGTTCTTAAGATTGAGATGGAAAATATTGCAGATAATCAAGGAGTCTCTATTGGCTCTGAATGGAAAAGGAAGTTCAAGTCCCGTATAAAATTGTTAAGTACATGGGAGACAAACACTACCATTGAATTTCAGGAAAGTTCTTAGTCTTCAGTTGAAGAATTCTACAAGGGAGAGGAAAGGTTTCTTTGTAATGGCAGATAATGTAATTAAAACACATAAATAGGGTTTTTTCTTGTCTTAAGTTTTTGTATTGAAAGTAACACGGAATACCGAATTGCCCTTTGTAGAGTTAACAGTCCATTATTTGTTTGGCTTCCATTAGTCTAAGGACTAAAAACATACACATTGCTTAATGAAGGTTAAACGTGCTTCGACGCATATCAGAAGGACTAAACTAGGAACCTCTGTTAGTAGACCTTGACCTCTGGTTGTCTCTATTGTCATAAGTTTTACATAAGTTGTTAGACTCCAAAGATGAGTGCCAAAACTAACCTCTCCAAGGAAACGCTTTTAGATAACCTACTCATGCTCCTCCTCCTCCTCCTCTCGTTCTTAGAGTGGTCAACAAGCTTCCAACCACGTAACCTTTTGTCAATCCCTTTTAGAAAGAACATGCATCACCCATACTCTTATAAGGATAAATATTAAGAAATATTTTGACTATCAAACTCAGGAAGAGTAAAGCAACAACCCAAAGCAAACAACGGGGAAAATAATGAAGTAATTTCCAATCAGAAAGCCTGTAGGAGTTCCATTCCAGAACTCGGTCCCTAAATGTATCAAATCAGAGGTGTCCTCTATAGGCAGCCCATCAAGAAGAAAGTAGAAACAAAACAGATCAACCTACTAGTCCTTAGTGGAAGCTATCCTCAACTTCTCTGTGCTCATAGAGACACTAACAGCAGCACAGATGTCTCAACTATTAACTGTAATAAATTCAAAATATGACTGAAGAATGATAGGGACAGAGCTCTGCTATCAATATTCTCCAGGAAAAGAATGTTGTCGGTAAAAGACGAAAACCGAAAGCAAACGTGATAATAGAATCTCAACCAATTCTTTTACCTACTGCACATCAGTTTTAAGATCATTCTTACTCTAAATATCCACCACCAAAGTAAACAGAGCAGACTGACAAACCACGTCACCTCTTTGTTAATAAGGGTTAGTTTCGTAGCAACAAAATTCAAGTTAATAGTAAACACATGTAAGACACAAACAAATTCTCCAGGAGCAATACCTAGGAAGATTTTAGAAGAACGTACTTCCATTTATGTATATTGCCTCACGTGGGTGACCGGGGTTCAATCCCCAGCAACGGCGTACCTTTCTTTCCTTATCAGAAAAAAAATGTATATTGTCTAGACATATGTTAGTCAAGGCAGAAGACTCTACTGATAGAGAAGGCGTAAGATTCTAACAAAATTAGTAAAGAGGATTAGGCCTAGGATAGTTGCTCTCATAACAGATTTCAAACAAAACTATTGAAAGACTACATTTTTGTTATTAAGACAAAATATCTCTCTCTCTCTCTCTCTCACACACACACATGTATGAATGATACAGATTGCATATTCATTATACCTTGGCACACCTCCATTCAGCAACTACTATGCCTTCCGGGAAGCCTTTTCTGATAAAGTAAGGTTCATTGATGTAGTGGAGGAAAATTCCGGTATACAAGTGGTATACAAAAAGTGGTAGAACCTTATTCTCTACATACACAGATTTTGACACCAACGTATTCGATGTACCAGAGATACCAAAGTATTTGATGTATAAATACCAGAGAATGCATAAGAATTTTATATTAAACCGAAATTTTCTAACTTTAGGAACAGGGAAAAAGATTCTTCCAGAAGGAATACCTGCATGCCAGTGAAGTGAGAATTATTAGCCATGGCAGGATGGCCAAATCAGAAGCAACCCTGGTAAACATCAGTGGTTTCACATCAGAATATTTATGCAATATGTCGAAACATAAGGACTAAGAAACATATGTAAAAACATGCCGAAAGATAAAATTTCATGTTATACAACCATTGAACTAAGCAATGGATAACATGGTAGAAAACACAGTGCAGAAGTACATAGCATGTCATGCCATATTTTGGCAAAAGAATCTCAAGACAAAATATAGCGGCATTAAATCAAATATGAAAATTATAGCATTAGATGCCCTCCATGACAAACCCCATACTGGTGCATTTCAAAAGGATTTACATTATATGCTCCAAGCAAACAAAGGTTACCTCTTGCTTAATAAAACCGGTATATTCAGTCTGGAAAGAAATGAAGCTCTGCAAGCAATGAAGTTCCAGGAACAAAAAAGATTAAAAAACATTAAAAAAAAATATAACATAAAGCACATTAAGCAAAGTGGAAGAAGACCTACATAGAGAAAACAAAAAAAAACTCCTTTTTTACTACATTGACACACACATGCATGCAGATAGTAATTTCAAAAATTAAACTTTAAAGAGTCCAAGACTTCAAAATTGGGTCTATAAATTACTAGAAATTTATTAGGGAAACTCATTATTGGTGCAATACAAATTGTAATTAAAATCGACCCAAAAAAGTTGTTTACCAAATTAATAGCTCAAGATTATTAAAGAATATCCCACTTTTTAATCAAACAAACCCTAAACCCTAAGAGAAGGCAAAAGGAAACCCAGCGTTCTGTTATTAATTTCAATCAAACAATCCAAGCATGAGGAGTCAATTTTGCATTTCAATAGAGAGGATACTACCAATTTAATGTGAGGTTAACACATACGATGTCTTGTCTTCTGGTATTTCGCGAAAAATATGAAGCTTGGATTGGAGTTAGGAAAAATTGCGGCAGCGACTATTCAAGGAGCCGTTTGGAGGGATCTATTCCAGTTTTAAGAATAAAGGAAATGGTGTACGATTTTATACAAAAACGGATCACGTGACGTTAAAACGTCATATTTTGTAATAAAACAATAAAAGTAGAAGAACAATATTGCAGAAAAAGTAATTTTTATTGAATTTTGGAATAATTTACAAACGATAGCTTAGCCACAAAGTTAAACTCTGTAAAAGATAGACATTCGCTCTAATTACAATTTTATTCATAACACTCCCCCTTGAATGTCTACTCAATAAGTAATGTGCATCGTTAAAACCTAAACTAAAATAAAATCCAATGGGGAAAAAATCTAATAAAGGAAAAAGAGTATACATATCTTAACAATACGCCTTTTGGTTGCCGCATTAAAAACCTTGCAAGGTAAACCCAGTGGGACAAAACCTTGTAAGGGAAAAAGAGTGCAACGCGTATTAAACTCCCCCGATGAGAGCATCATTTCACATCCTTGAGCCTTCGCATCCCAATCTTGTGCACTAGCTTCTTGAAGGTTGACATAGGTAGAGATTTTGTGAACAAATCAACTATATTATCACTTGAACGAATCTGTTGCACATTGATATCACCATTCTTTTGAAGATAATGTGTGAAAAATAACTTTGGTGAAATGTGCTTTGTCCTATCTCCTTTTATGAATCCTCCCTTCAATTGGGCTATGCATGCTGCATTGTCTTCATGCAAAATCGTGGGTAGTTTATCACATTTCAAACCACATTTGTCTCGAATAAGATGTATTATAGACCTCAACCACACACAACTTGCTTCATGAATAGCAATTATCTCAGCATGATTAGATGAAGTAGCCACAATTGATTGTTTCGTCGGCAGTGCCTCCACAGGTAAACACATAACATGTTTGAGATCGAGCCTTGTGTGGGTCAGATAAATACCCAGCATCAGCATAACCAACAAGATCGGGACTGCAATTATTGCCATAAAATAAGCCCATATCGATAATCCCTTTTAGATACCGCCATATGTGTTTGATTCCATTCCAATGTCTCCTTGTGGGAGCAGAGCTATATCTTGCTAAGACATTAACTGAAAAGGTATGTCAGACCTTGTAGTATTAGCAAGATATATTAGTGCACCAATTGCACTGAGATATGATACTTCAGGACCAAGTAGTTCTTCATTCTCTTCTTGAGGTCGGAATGGATCCTTATTCACATCAAATGATCGAACAACCATTGGAGTACTTAATGGATGTGCTCCATCCATGTAAAACCGTTTCAATACCTTTTCTATGTAGGTAGATTGACGAACAAAATTTCCGTTTGCCAAATGTTCAATTTGCAAACCAAGACATAATTTTGTCTTTCCGAGATCTTTCATCTCGAATTCCTTCTTTAAATAATCAATTGCCTTTTGGAGTTCTATAGGAGTACCAATAAGGTTTATGTCATCAACATATACGGCAAGTACAACAAAATTCGATGTTGTTTTCTTTATAAAAACACATGGACAAATGGCATCATTTATATAACCTTCCTTTAATAAATACTCACTAAGACAATTATACCACATACGTCCTGATTGCTTTAGACCATACAAAGATCTTTGCAATTTGATTGAAAATAATTCCCGATACTTTGAATTATGTGCGTTAGGCATTTTAAATCCCTCGGGAATTTTCATGCATATCTCATTATCAAGTGAGCCATAAAGGTAGGCGGTAACCACATCAATTAAATGCATGTCAAGCTTTTCATGGACAGCAAAATTAATGAGATAACGAAACGTTATAACATCCATAATGGGTGAATATGTCTCTTCATAATTGACACCAGGCCTTTGTGAAAATCCTTGTGCAACAAGGCGTGCCTTATATCTTTGTACCTCATTTTTCTCATTCCCCTTGCGTACAAAGACCCATTTATAGCCAACAGGCTTAACACCGTTAGGTGTTTGGACTACAGGCCCAAAAACTTCACGTTTTGCAAGTAAATTCAACTCTAATTGGATTGCTTCTTGCCATTTTGGCCAATCACATCTTTGTCGACATTCTCCAATAGATTGAGGTTCAAGATCCTCGCTATCTTGCATAATGCTAGATGCAACATTATATGCAAAGACATAATCCATCACTATATCCACTCGATTCAAATTTGTCTCAATATCAACCGGATTTATTGATAGTTCCTTATTTTCTTGAGTCTCAAGCTTAGTGATTTCCTCATGAATCTCAGGAATGGTTAAATCGTGGATTTCTTCATGAGACTCTTTCGTAGTGTCATCTTGATTATTTGTTTTTCTTTTTCTAGGATTTCGATCTTTAGAACTTAATGGTCTGCCACGTTTTAGGCGTGCTTTTGACTCATTAGCTATGACACTAGAAGATTGTCCAACAGGGACATCAGTACGGATTGGAACATTCTCTGCAGGGATATGTGATTTTGTTATCCTTTTCAGATCCGTAAATGCATCTGGCATTTGATTTGCTATTTTTTGCAAATGAATAATCTTTTGCACCTCTTTTTTACAAATAGAGGCACGTGGATCAAGATGAGACAACGAAGGATTTTTCCACAAAATTTTCCGTTTGGTTTCACCATTTTCTCCCCTTAATTTTGGGAAAAGTGTCTCATCGAATCGACAGTCTGCAAATAGTGCAGTAAACAAATCCCCCGTTAATGTTTCGAGGTAGCGAATAATGGAGGGCGATTCAAACCCAACATATATTCCTAACCTTCTTTTGGGACCCATTTTGGTGTGATATGGCGGTGCTACAAGCACATATACTGCGCATCCAAAAATTCTTAAATGGAATATACTAGGTTCATGACCCAAAACTAATTGCAACGGGGAATATTTATGATAATTTGTCAGTCTGAGACAAACTAGCATTGATGCATGCAATATGGCGTGACCCCAAACAGAAGTGGAAAACCTCGTTTTCATGAGTAACGGTCTTGCTATCAATTGCAGACGTTTAATTAAAGACTCTGCAAGGCCATTTTGAGTGTGAACATGGGCTAGATGATGTTCCACTTTTATCCCAATTGATAAGCAATAATCGTTAAATGCTTGGGATGAAAACTCAGCAGCATTATCAAGTCTAATAGACTTAATTGGATTATCGGGGAATTGTGCCCGTAATCGGATTATTTGTGCCATTAATTTTGCAAACGCGAGGTTGCGAGATGACAATAGGCACACATGAGACCATCTAGAAGATGCATCTATTAAGACCATAAAATATCTAAACGACCCACTAGGTGGGTGAATAAGTCCACAAATGTCCCCTTGTATACGTTCCAAAAATGCAGGGGACTCAATCCCAACCTTTGTTGGTGATGGTCTAATAATTAACTTGCCTTGATAACAAGAAGTGCAAGAAAATTCATTATTTAAAAGAATCTTTAAATTCTTTAATGGATGCCCATTTGAGTTTTCTATAACCCGTCTCATCATAATTGTAACGACCCGATCGGTCGTTTTGAGCCCTAGCGCGTCGTTCAGCAGTCTGAGGCCATGAGCAACTTCATTTCAGGCATTGTGACTTGTTCGCAGGGTCAAAATTTAAATTCAGGAAGATCGGAGTTAAATTTAAATGAAAAATTCTCATTTGAGAAGCTTAAAGTTGAAAGAATGAACTAGGATTGGAATTTTGGGTAAACGACCTCGGAATCAAGATCTGAAGGTTCCTGCAGGTTCGTATGATGATTTCGGACTCGGGCGTATGCCCGGATTGGGTTTTGGATAACCCGGGAGCGTTTTGGCGCCTATTATGTAAGTTAGCATTTTGGAAAAAATTTCTTATGTTTGGCCTGGAGTGTATTTCAGCGTTATCGATGTCCGTTTGGGATTCCGAGTCTGGGAATAGCTCCGTATGGTGATTCTGGAGTTGGGAGCGCGATCGGAAGCGAATTCGGAGGTCCGTAGGTCATTTTGAAGCCATTTGGCTAAAGATGGAAATTTGAAGGTTTTTGAGAAGTTTGACCGGGAGTGGACTTTTTTATATCGGGGTCGGAATCCAATTCCGGAAGTTGGAGTAGGTCCGTAATGTCAAATATGGCCTGTGCGCAAAATTTGAGGTCAATCGGACATGATATGATAGGTTTAAACATCGGAAGTGGAAGTTGGAAAGTTCAAAGTTCATAAAGCTTGGATTGGGGGTCGATTGATGATTTTAGCGTTGTTTGATGTGATTTGAGACCCCGAGCAAGTCCGTAATGTGTTTTGGGATTGGTTGGGGTCCCGGGGGCCTTGGGTGGATTCCGGGTGGCTAACGGATCAAATTTGGAAGTTGAAGAATAGCTGAAGGGATCTGGTATCTGGTATTTCCGCTTCTGCGGAAATGGGACCGCAGAAGCATCCCCGCAGAAGCGAAGAAGAAGCCGCAGAAGCGGACGAGGGCGAGGGCAGCCAGGACCGCAGAAGCGGCCCTTGATCCGCTGATGCGGAACCGCAGAAGCGGTAGGCTGACCGCAGCAGCGGAAGGCCTGGAGTGGATGGGAGCCGCAAAAGCGGCAAGCGGTCCGCAGAAGCGGGACCGCGGAAGCGGACAGGGTTCCGCTAAAGCGAAAATGCTGGGCAGTAGGCATGTTTTAAAATCGTGATTGGGAGTTCATTTCTCTTATTTTTCATGGCTTGGGGCGATTTTGGAGAGCTTCAAGGAGGGGATTTTCGTCGTCAATGTCAAGGTAAGTTATCCCCATCACTTTCGTGTTAAATATATCAATTATGTATGGATTTAAGTATGAAGATTAGTGTAAATTTAGGGTTTTGGTTGAAAACCTAGGAAATTAGAAATCTTGGATTTTGATTACGATTTTGAGTATGGAATTAAGAGAAAATCATATATTTTAGTTCGTGAGTTCATGGGTAAACTTTATCTTCGAGAAATTTCGGATTCCGGGCACGTGGGCCAGAGGGCATTTTTGTCAACTTTTCGTTCGGGGTTAGAAATTGTTATAAATTGGGTTGTAAAGTATAATTGAGCATGTATTAATGGATTTATACGATCGTTGGTTAGTTTTGGAGCATTG